TAATGGCAGAAGGCATCATGTCTATGTCATAGGTAAGAATGCTTTTGTCTCTGGAGGAAATGGCAGAAGGCATCATGTCTTATATCATAGGTAAAAATGCTTTTGTCTCTGGAGGAAATGGCAGAAGGCATCATGTCTTATGTCATAGGTAAAAATGCTTTTGTCTCTGGCATGTCTGGAGGAAATGGCAGAAGGCATCATGTCTTATGTCGTAGGTAAGAATACTGTCTTATGTCGTGGGCATTTCCGGAGGGAATGGCAGACATTTTGTTTACAAACTGTTCAAGGAAATCATTATTAAACTATTTCGGCTCATATCTATGAAGCTGTCGATGAAAGCATTAGAAACATAAAAAATAAACATAAATAATCGGCCTTTGAAGTGGAAATTTTGTAACAAGCTCATGACGATTTTCCAACAAAATTACATTTATTTTCTGAATTTTTTTCCAGGATTCAGAAGGAAGCCTGTAAGCTTGCAGTGCAGAGACTTACAAAGTGTTGTGAATATAACCTACCAGGTCAGAAGACTCCTGACGTCATGAATGAGGTGATAGCGGCATGTCTACAGAATATTGTCACGCTGATCAAAAAGAATCCTGAAAATACATCCTCAATTGTCACTGATCATCTGCTATCAACATCTGCAATTGTCAAAGTAAGAATCCCTCAGTTTAACTGCCTTTATGTATGTTTCCAAGTATTCTGTGTCATTAGAAGTCGTTGTAGATCAAGACCTAAAATTTTTTAATAACCTCCCCAAGGCTACCAAATTCAAATATGTCAATAATGTTGTACATGCAGGTTTTTCTTCAAATTTCTTACGTGTTTTCAGGCATTTCTTTATAGGAATTAACAGTGTTTTGTCAACAGGTCTGTTCAGAACTAACTTGTGTCATGACCCATGACACAGATACAGATGTAACTGGTCAGTGCTTGTTTTTCTCTTTTGTCTCTTAGGCTGTTGGAACCAAACCGCTTTCATTGTCCCCATCACTCATTCAAGCCTGGAAAAGTTTGGTGAGAAATGGGCTGAGGATCTGTTACCAGTCTACAGATATGCTCCAGCTCTTGACTCGTCTGGTGAAAATGATCTACAGCAATGCTAAGGGTGTGAATCAAGAAGTAGATGCAGAGATCAACAACCCTCTTCCATTACCAGTTCTCTATCAAATTGTCCTGAGTCATTCTTTGTTTCTGCCAACACTCCTTGAAGATTGTGATGGAAATATGCCAACTAAAGGTATGAATAAACTTAATCTGAATTGAATTGATAATTGGGTTTGTTTCTTTACAAAGGAATTTGACTTATTGACATTTACATTTGTCGGCTTGGTTGTTTTGTGTCGTTGCCAGCCAGTTGATTTTCAGAAATATTTCGATGATTTGTCATTTTTGTTGTTTTCAAGAAATGCTTGCTATTGTCTTTCAACTCTCTTGCTCCTTGTCATGACATACCATTATGCATTCTGGGACTCTTTAGTGTGGGTATTGATTCTAATAGAGTTGTGTTCACTGCATGTTTGTTTGTTTCAAGCAAGTCTAGATCGTATTCTGTGATCTGAGTGTTGGTTTACCGCTCATGGCATCCTATGTAGAACAGTGAATCAGGGTTCAGCTTTGCAAAACGAGGTCACTTGATTTAGCTGATGCGAAAATTTATGAAGTTCACATTGGACTTGTTTGGTTAAACAGAGAGTGTTGTTAATTTGACCAAATTAAGTCTAGTGTGGACAGCTTTTAAAGTTTTAATTCTTGAAATGCTAATTTTCATTTGCTAGATTTACCCTTGGCAGCAGTAGTTGTACAGGGCCAGCTTTGTTATTTAAGTTTTGTTTCTGAAAAGTCCTGTGTTGATCAGTCACAGGAAAGAGAAACTTTCATTTTCATCATGATTTGTGCCCATTTCACTGGATGTGCCTGCTGCATTCAAGTAGGCTGCTAATATGGACGGTACATGCTCGTACATGTACATATAGGTTTGTTTATGAAATGCATTGTGAGACATGAAACTCATTTACTGTAGCGAATGCTGTATTTGAGGTCGCCTGTTTTTAATGTCATTATGAAATGTGGAAACTTTGGAAGTAGCATGAAAATATAGTTGACAGCAGAATTGCTACCCTTTTGAAACCTTGTATTCCATGTTTTTCTAAACCACATCTGATGTCAGATTAGAAGATCAATCACCACTACTGAAAGTTAAAACTTTTGGCAGGCTTTGGTTAACCCAAGTGTGGAAGCCATAATGGAATATTAAAGATCAATCACATTGAAAATTCATGATTTCACTTTTTATGAAATTTAGTTATATTTAAAACAATGTCGTAGGTAAAAACTAAATAAAGATTGATACTGACATCAACAGCACGAGTTTTAGTCCTCCTTCATATCAGGCAAACTAAAATTGAAAGTTGTCGGGAGCGTGCGATAGAAGCCTGTTTTGATGAGGTCACACTATGGCTCTGTAATTATATGACTGGTTTTATTATTTCAGGGTGAACGAGCTCTGCTTGCTTGAACTTAATTGAATTAAAAGTGAAAGCCACTTGGAATTACTTTTACATCGACAATGTTGATCAACACTTGATTGCACGATAAAGTTGAACCGTCCCAATTTGAATCAGAGTAAGGTCTTGATGAATTTCAGACAGATGGCTGTGGTCATTTGCCAAGAATGACATCTGACTTACTTGACCTGTCTTTTCTCTGCTCTTGTGCCATAAAGCCCTCTGTTGTGGCCACAAGGTCAAGAAACTCAGGGGAGGGGGATGAAAGCTGTGTTATGACATCATTGAACTGCTAGATTTGTTTGCTGCCCCATTGACAGACTTTTTTTTATCTGAGCATTCTCAGGGTGGAGTTAAACTCCCCATAAGGAAAATTTTTTATACATGTGTACAGAAGCTGCCACGTTAATCAATAATAATAATAATAACCAATTCCCTGTTTAATAACATTTTTCAATAAAACCATGTGACTTATCTTTAACAATCAATTGGGATTACTTGTGTACAGTTTATTCCAGTGCAAACATAACATTAACAGAAGTTTCTGATGTCTCATTTTGGAATTCATGATAATATAATTTTGTGTAATCATTGTCTCTTGTCAGAATCATTGGTATTGTTGATGTTGGCCATAGTTGAATTGGAGCCAAGATGCTGTCAGGAAGCTCATTATGCTGTACTCGTTGGAGCATACAACGTCACCAGAAATATTACTGACACTACCTTGATGAAGCTAATGCAACATTACCAGAAGAATCAAGCTGTTCCATCTCATTACAAGTGAGTTTTGTCTTCACCTCTCAATCTTCATTCAAGAAAGTGAATTCTTCCTCTACTTAGTCAAGCTACATGTATTTCAAAAAGGAAAAACTCTACTTCATGAGGATGAACTTAAAGTATAAGGGAGAAGAGACATGAATTTGTGTATAAAAGACAAAGTGCCATATGCTGTGGTATTATGGTCTGTGTTCTCATTTGAACTTGAAGCCTTCAGATTAAACTACGGAAGGAAAACATCCTGTCTCAATAAGCAAAACATGTGAATCTATTGTGTATAAGAAGAGGATTCCTACAGTACCTTGACTTCTTGATATGTCTTGACTCATGATTCTTAGGCTGACTGCATGGGGACATGCTGCAGTATCTCAACATCAAATGCAAAAAGCCTTAGGGAAATCACTATGGCAACAACCCAGCATGAAGGAAATTCTTAAGCAGCTGGAGACAGATGTGCTTAAAGATTCAGCATTGCACTTTCCTCTTCATTGCAAGTTATTGGCAGAGGTTTGTTCGTTATTGTTTGTATTTTTGCTTCTGTCTTTTCACGTTTTATTCTTGATCTTGTAAATTCAAAAAAGGAAATTAAGAATGAAGCAGTTTTATAGTAGAATAATCTCTGTTAGGTGGTTGTTTGCACATTTTAAGACAACGTACAGCTTGTATGATAAGTCTTATGCTTTGGAAAATCTGATCCTGACGGACAAAATATCCTATCCAGACTTTAAGAAAATTGTCAAAATATCAAGTTTGCACGTGATGTTCTAGTACTTCTTGTTCTGAAAAAAAGTGTCTGGTATTGTATTGTTGACATTAGACTCCTTCTGATCCGTCAGCAAGTCAGATTTCATCTCAGCTCTATGATCCCTGCTTCCTGTATCCCTTGTTTAGTCATCTCCTTGCACCAGGTGAGTGGAACTTAAAACTTTATCTAAGTAAAGAAAATTAGAGTCAAATAAAATCTGTAGGTTATTATTTGCTGGTAGTAATACGTACATGTATTGCTTTGCCTCGGAATTCTTTGTCTTCAATCTGTGTATGGAATTCATCACCATATTCCTGTTCAAGTTCAACGTGAACAAACGTTTTTCATAATGAACATGACACACCTTGTTTAACCACCTTTGATAATTTCATGACAATAAAGGAATCTGTCAGATAGTTGAATGGTTTGCCTCTCATATTGACTACCCAGATGGAGAGGCTGTCTCCTTTCTGTGTTGCGAATATTGAAATGTTTTTCATCATGGCACCATTATCAAACATTGGAAACAAATACTGTTCTCAGTATTATTTGGACATTCATTCAAAAAGAAAAAAACACAGAATAAAAATACATGGATAAATAATACATGTACATGTTTATAGAGCCATTACCTGGTTTGTCCACTTGCATTTTGTGAAAAACGTCTTTTTGTTGATGAATTCAAAAATATAAGGTTGCTAACAGCATTACCAATTTTCCTCTTTGACATGGAATGCATAAGTTAATATCTCTAAAATAATTAGAAATGATTTCTAGGCTTTCTTTATTTGTAATTATCAATAGCAAATTGAAGCATTTGATACAGAGTTGTCAAAAATAAAGGAAACCCAAATTCAACCAAAATTTATAGGAAAACTGCAGATCTCTTAATTAAGCATTATATGTCTCCGGAAAGGACTGAATGTCTTCTTTCTGATGCCACAGTTGAACGAGTAACAATGCATTGTTGACCAGCTAGTGAAATGTGCACTGTGACAAGTTAGCAGACAGTGTGCATTAGATGAAGTACATGTACATTGGAATTAGTGCTGCAGCCGAACCGCCGAACTGAACCAAAAATTATTGAACATGGCACTTTTGAACCGAACTGAACCAAACTGGTCAGTTCGGATGTTTGGCTGTATATGGCGTGACATTGGTAGTGCACAGAATGCACGCAAAAAAACATGATAAAAAAAGCAAACCTAACGAAAAATGGACGCTTCGTACATGTGTGTGTATACACGTACTATAAATGTGCTGTACATGTACATATACAGTAAACTCACGATGACCCTGCATCATGCAATGGTTGTAAAAACCATGTGGTGAGAATTCGCTAATAATCAACTGAGAACATGCAACGTATGGCATTTCTGCTGCACAACAATTCTAAATTCTCACTACGTCCAATTGTGCTTACATATATTCAGATTTAGCATTATGTTTGCCAATCTCAGATAGTTACGCCCTCAGGTTCTATATTAGACCAATGATGTCATAAACATGATAAATGGCCGAGCAAAACAAATTTTGATTGGATGCTGATCACAGTTGGACTCGTGTTCCATCGGAAGGCAACTCCGGAGGGCAAAATGATTTTGTTCCAGCATGCGACAAGATTTGGTTTGCGTGGTGGCCCAACCTGCCCTTCGTTAATCATATTTGATCAAAGCATTAGTGTGAATAAGTTGTAACGGAATTTTGCCAGATCTCCAAGTTGTTCGGAAATCTCAAATGACAAAATGCTGTTATCCATTTGAAAAAGACTGATGGAAAATCGTCCCTTTGGCCACATGGATGCCATCCTGAAAAGAATGCTGACGTGATACCAAGGTTGTTCTTCTGCTACATCAAAATCCATGGTTTGGCAGTTGAATGTGTTTCATGAAGAATAATCAAAACAGAATTTGCTCGAAATCTAATTTGATCTTATATCCTGTAAAGGTTGAAACTCCCATTTAAGCATGCTGTTGTTTTTTTTTTCTGTTTTCACATATCCTGCGATCAAGCATGGTTTTTAACCGTTTTTGGCCGTCAAAACACAGTCAGAAACTCACACCTCAAATAGTAACTTTCTATGGATTTTTAACTCCTAAACAAACTTTGGGGAAATAGTTTAGAAAACAATTATGTTCATATGGAAGTTGCTCTTGGATGGGGATGGGGAGGAGATTCATCGCTTGTATTAACATAGTTCACTCACAGAAGTACTATATACGGCTTGTTCGTAGCGTGCTCTTCGATGTCTCAATGTGCATTGTATATGTACATGTACGTACTTGTGTGTACATGTCCAAACCGAACCAAACTGAAGTTTGGCAAAAAATTTCTGAACCGTGTCCGAACGGAACCCGAAGCAAACGTTGGCACCTACTTGCATTACTACTTTGAATGTGCTTAGGCCAACACACCCAGTGCTTTTTAATGTGTGTGTATGCTAACTTGTCACAGTGCAAATTTCACCCGCTGGTCAACAATGCATTGCTACTCGTTTCACCGTGACATTGAGCACATAATGAAGGTGTAATTGGAAAGAAGACATTTAGCCCTTTTAGGAGACATATAATGCTTAATAAAGAAATCTGCAGTTTTCCTATAAATTGTGGTTGAATTTGGGCTTCCTTTATTTTGATACACTCTAAACATGGGATATTGTTTTTAAATTTCAACCCAGGAAAGTAACTTTGTTTGAAATGGGAGCATTTGAAAACAGTTTTTCACACCCGTAATGTTATAGTCCTTGAGAATAAAGCATTGTCTTCACAAGGATATAAATTTCAGTCTGTGTGGTAACTACATGACTCCATTGTTAATGGGTCTACATGTACATTGGCTTCCTGTGAGCTTTAGAATTACATTTAAAATGATATTGACCTACAAGTGTTTTTACGGGTCTGCTCTGTTGTATCTCACTGAACTCATAACATGTGTAAAAAGGGACAGTCTCATTATAATCTTCCTAGGTCGCATGATGACACTTTGCTGAGTTATCCCACTTCTTGTAATAAAGTCACTCTGGGAGATACCACATTTTTCATTGCGCCTCCTAAACTTTGGAATGTTTTCCATGTTAATACTCGTAGAGCAGACGGTGTGAGTGTTTTCAAATCTTCATTGAAGACACAAGACTTATTTGTATAAAGGAGGCTTTTGGATACCATCTTCATGATTAGTGCTGGGTATGGGGTGTTGGGTAAATTGGAAATTGGGTGGTACATGTAGATTGGGATACATGTAGATGTCATTGTCAGTTGTCTTCTTGTCCCCTCGTCTTTTATGGTACATGTTGTCACAGACTGTTTGCTGTCAAATTCGATGTGTTCATTTTTATCATTTGGTTTTTGGTGTATCTAGTCTTTTAAATCCCTGTTACATGTATTTTTAATGTATTTATACTTATTTTTAATGTACAGCACATTTGAACATATTTTTATGAAATTTGCACTTTATAAATGAATAAATATTTCCAAATAGGTCACTTTGGAAACATTTTGTGGTAAATTTTTCAACATTAGGGAGACATCAGTCATTAGGGAGACATTTCAATGTCTCCCTAATGCTCCAACTACCAAAAGGAGGAAAATTTTTATTGTCCACATTTTGAGAGATGATAGATTAGGGTCTGAAAGGAAAACATGCAAAAATTGGTTAAAATCGGATAAGGGAATATTGAATTATGGGATGGTAAAGTTTGAAAAATTTTGTGTAAGTTCCTATGGGAATGTCTCCCAAGTGACCCATTATCGGTAATGATAATTATTATTAAAAGAGTACAGTAAAACTAGTTCTATAGCTGTGGTCGACAGAGGTGGCATTTTAGGGAATTAATCCAGTTATTTAATGACATTTCAACAATGCCAGACCTCAATGATTCTGGTAACTCATCCCATTCATGAGTGAACACATTCACCCCAGAACAGAAATGACAAAACCGCACAGATTCTGTGTGTCGACCATTGACCAGGATACTACTTCACTGAGTATAAAGTGCAACATTTGGTTGGCCTTAGACACAAGATAGTTCATGTGACACCCAAATATTTATAACTGGTAACAGCATCAGGTGAAGAGTTACTGATATTACATGTAGGGATACCAGGACTTCTAGATCAAGTGATCTACATAATATTTGTTTTGTTGAAATTTCATCCTTTGTTTACACCACTTATGGACTTGATTGAGATCTTGTATGTAACATACATTCATCCTGTTTCCAAGATATGGCCTGAATAATAACGTATCATCTGCAAACAGCAGGCAGGTAGACAAAATTCATGAAGGAAGGTCATTAATAAACAGGTCAAACAAAAGTGGCCCCAGGACACTACCCAGAGGTACTCCTGATGATACTGGAAGCCAGGGAGAAAACTACCTTTGTAAACTGCCCACTGAAAATGACCAGAGATGAAGGACTTAATCCATCTGTACTTATAATATTGACCAGCCAGCTTTGGAAGTAAAATGTCATGAGGCGTTATGTCAAGGCCTTGGCAAAATAAAAAATATGGCATCAATATTTGGTGGAGTGGGTTTGTCGAAAATAGTT